GAGACCTCGATAGTGCCGGCATGGCGGACCTGAGGTGGGTATGGTACACGGGGGCTGAGGCTGTTGAGGCTGTCGTGGCAAATATGTGCGAACACGCTGCTGATGTTGAGCTTCAGCGGGACGGCTGCCTCACGCTGCGCAACAACATGCGACCCAGCAGGTATGCGTGCAGGCAGGCGATGGTGGATGCGGGCGGGCTTGCGGCTGTGGTGGCGGCGATGGTCGGTCACCCCGCAGATCTTTTGCTGCAGCGGGCTGGCTGCGGCGTGCTGCAGAACATGGCTGCCTACGACGCGCACAAACAGGCGGTGGTGGACGCGGGCGGGGCTGCGGCTGTGGTGGCAGCGATGGGCAGGCACGATGCGGACGCAGAGCTGCAGCGGTATGGCTGCGGCGCGCTGTGGAACATGGCCATCGGCAGCGACGCGTGCGAGCAGGCGGTGGTGGACGCGGGCGGGCTTGCAGCTGTGGTGGCGGCGATGGTCGGGCACGCTGCAGACGTGGAGCTGCAGCGGGCTGGCTGCGGCGCGCTGCGCAATATGGGTTTTTGGCAGCGACGCGTGCATCCAGGCCGTGGTGGACGCGGGCGGGGCTGCGGCTGTGGTGGCGGCGATGGGCAGGCACGCTGATGTGGGGCTGCAGCGGTTGGGCTGCGGCGCGCTGCGCAACATGGCTTTCGGCAGCGACGCGTGCAGGCAGGCGGTGGTGGACGCGGGCGGGCTTGCAGCTGTGGTGGCGGCGATGGGCGGGCACGATGCGGACGCGGAGCTGCAGCGGCTGGGCTGCGACGCGCTGCGCAACATGGCCATCGGCAGCGGCGCGCGTATCCAGGCCGTGGTGGAAGCGGGCGGGGCTGCGGCTGTTGTGGCGGCGATGGGCAGGCACGCTACAGATGTGCAGCTGCAGCGGGCTGGCTGCGGCGCGCTGTGGAACATGGCCATCGGCAGCGACGCGTGCAAGCAGGCCGTCGTGGATGCGGGCGGACTTGCGGCTGTAGTGGCGGCGATGGGCAGGCACGCTGCAGATGTGCAGCTGCAGCGGTATGGCTGCGGCGCGCTGCTGAACATGGCTTTCGGCAGCGACGCGCGCAGGCAGGCGGTGGTGGACGCGCGCGGGGCTGCGGCTGTGGTGGCGGCGATGGGCAGGCACGATGCGGACGCAGAGCTGCAAAGGTTGGGCTGCGGCGCGCTGTGGAACATGGCTGTCGGCAGCGACGAGCGCATCCAGGCCGTGGTAGACGCGGGCGGGCTTGCAGCTGTGGTGGCGGCGATGGGCAGGCACGCTGCTGATGTGGAGCTGCAGCGGTATGGCTGCGGCGCGCTGCAGAACATGGCTGTCGGCAGCGACGCGTGCAAGCTAGCCATTCTTGGCGCGGGTGGCCTTGCCGCCCTCGTTTCAGCTGGCACCGCCCACCCTACCTGCCACGCATCCGTCTCTTTGACTGTTCGCCGCTTGGTCGGCGACCTCGGCGCTTTCGCCCCCGCCGCTCCAGCGCCGCCACCGATACCGCCGCCGGTAGCTGAGCTCGCCGAGGCTGAGCGGGCTCGCCAGCGTGCCGAGCAGCGGGCACAGCAGGAGCAGGAGCAGCGACAGGAGGCAGAACGGCGTGCGCAGGCCTCCCACCAGCGCGAGCAGGAGCTCCAGCAGCAGCTGACGATCGTGGCGACGTCCAACGAGCTCGACGAGGGCGCCTTCCTCCGGCGCTTCGTCGCCTTCCGTCAGTACGTCGAGATGTTGCTGGAGTACTTGCCATCAAAGACGGCGCGCAGCAAACCGTGGAGACTGAAGGTGCGGCGCAGCCAGCTCTGCCGCGACGTCATCGAGTACTTCTCGCCCACGAACGCCAGACAGAAGCTCTTCCAGCGCACCGAGGTGACATTCATCGACGCGCACGGCGGCGAGGAGGAGGGGGAGGACCTCGGCGGTCTGACTGTCGAGCTCTACTCTTGCTTCTTCCGCGAGGTGCTGCTCGCCGGCTCCGGCCTCTTCGAGGGCGCAGGCGACGATGCGTCGACAAGCATCGGGCTGCTGCCCTCGCCCACCGCCGACCCGCAGTCGATGAACAACATCGGCCGCATCATGTGCCGGTGCGTGCTCGACGACCAGCCCCTCGGCCGCGGGCTCGGTCGTTTCGTCTTCGAGTTTCTGGCAGACACGCACGAGTGGCGCGTCTTCAAGGATGTGCACTCCGCGCTCGCCGTGCTCTCCGACTTCGACCCCGAGCTCTCGCAGCGGTGGGCGCAGCTGCTCGTGCAGCCGACCGCCGGCTTGACGCTCGACTTCTTCGACGAGGACGCGGCGGCGGAGGAGGTGCCGCCGGAGAGCGCGGCGATGGAGCGGGCGGTGCTGGCGGGCTGCCGCCACAAGCTGCTCGTCAGCCGGGAGGCGAGCCTCCGCGCGCTGCGCGACGGTTTCACGGAGGTCGTGGACCTCCGGGAGCAGCTCGGCGCGCTCAGCGCCTCCGAGCTGCTACTCATGCTGCGCGGAAACACCGAGCTGAGCTGCGAGGAGCTGCTCGCGTGCTTCGCGTGGCCGGACACGTCGGACAGTGCCGCGGCGAAGGCGGGCTTCGCGGCCGCCGGCTCCGACGCGCCGCGCTACTTGCGCGAGATCATCCTCGACGAGTCACCCGAGACGGGGCTGGGCAGTCTCGGGCGGATGCGGCTGCTCGAGTGGAGCACGGCGCTCACGGCGCTGCCCTGCGGCGGCCTCAAGGACCCGATCACCCTCAAGCTCTACGAGGGCGCCGACGTGCACGACTTGCCCAACGTCCACACCTGCACACACGAGGTGCACTTGCCGCCGTATGCGACCCGCCAACAACTGCAGGCGAAGCTGCTGCAGGCAGTAGAGCATCGGCACGACGGCTTTCTGATCGAGTAATCTGCTGCGCTTTTCCAAGTGCTTTTCGCACTGCACTCAGCTCGCCAGTTGTACTTCGCGGAGGTGCAGTCGATTTCACGGTGAGCTTTGCGTCTGCAAGTGCATGGACCATGTTTGTCTTTGTAGTTCCTAGTACTCAGTCCGCTGAGTCTTGTGTGTACAGTCGCCACAGTACGTTCTTATTTTGTTTGTGAAGGTTTACATGCTCACCTACAGTGATGTGTACGTAATACCAAATCCTAATACCGTTCCCTCCCTCTGGGGGGGCGCGGGGGCCCCCGGAGGCACCGTGCGCCGCGCAGCACAGTGCGGAAACGGGGTCGGGGGGGAGCTCCGCCTCCGGCAGAGTACTAGTCTCTACTAGCACCAACTTCCCGAATGAGTATGGTTGAGTAGAGGGCAGATTTGGAGAGATCTCGAGGAGTACATACAGATAGACCCTCCAACCATCAGAAAACTCCGACCTGATTGGTCGTACTGACCGCCGACAGATCACTCCAGACAGCAGACAGGGGCCGACGTCTGCACGCGGCCGGCCGGGCGAGAGGCTTGACACGATCCGACCCTGCGAGACCCTGACGCTGCTGCTCTAGCTATCAGACATGCACTGCTGACTGCTGCCACAATGTGCGACCGGTGCTGGCCCACTTGGCGGCCTTCCCGGTCAGTGGTGAGGCGCAGTTCAGAGCTGTCGATGGCGCGATGCCGCACTGGTCCCACATTGGTAACACGAGACCACCACGTTTGCCGGAGGGTCCAAGAGAGAGGCACTGGCGCTGTCCTGAGAAGGTGCATGGTCCCTCTTGACTGCCCATGCGCGCGAGGCTGTGTAGGCATAGCCTCAAGAGTGCCAGCAGCCAATCCGAGGCGACGCGCATTGCGCCAGAAGCGTGCACGCAGCTGGAAGGACACCTTCCTACTGGCCGTACGATCAGGTCGTCACTGAATGCTTGATACTAAGGCCGCGAGCTATGCAGGTGATCAGCGCCGACAGGCTGTCGCAAGGCGTGATAGCATGGCCGCAAGTACGCCGAATTCCAATGAAAACAAGTGAAAATGCGCAAAAAAGAAAATTCCCAAAAAAATCGGCGCCTGCGGCGGGCCATGGGACCCCATCTCCCCCCCGCTTGGATACCCTCTAGGGCCCCCGCGCCCCCCCAGAGTTCCCTCCCCTGTGCGGCTTTACTTACGTTATAACCTTCGCTTGGACCTTCATAATAACCTTTCCCGTATCCGGCTCTGCATGCATTTGGACCGCCGAATGACGATAGCGATAACTGGAAACGAACCTCCCCGGCAGTGACGTGCGTTTCTCCCCGCGCCCTGCAAAGATTTGCGGTTTTCAGTCGTTCCAAGTATGCGGGCGTGGGCGGCCACGCCTCGATCTTCTTAGGCAGCAGCTGATCCTCCTCGTCACCGTGGCCCAACTCGCCATCATCTCCATCGCCCCAGCTCCAGATGGCTCCGTCGGCGGTGAGGGCGAGGCTGTGGTCGCATCCCGCCCGGCACATTGTCGGCCGATGCGCGGCTCGCCGCCCACCCCACGCGGACCCTATCCATCGGTGATGCCCTTTGCCATCTCCGTCTGAAGGAGGTCGGAGATCAGGATGGGCTTGAACTCGCCGGATTTCTCGAACTCGATGCCCTTGATGAGCGAGCAGCCAATGGCACCCTTTGCGAAGGCGCCCTCCATCTTTGGCACGATCGGCGCGAGAAAGTTGTGCGGGATGACGAAGACCATCATGGTCGCACCCATCACGCACTCCTTGATGTCCGGTTTGGCGATGATGTTTTTGGGCAGCTTGATGCCCGGCAGGTAGATGACGTTCTCGTTGAGCTCGTTGATCACTTGCGTCAGCGGCCTGTAACCCTCGTCGACCCAGGTCTTGCCTTCTGGAGGCTTGGCCCCGCGTGCCGGTCGCACCCACTTGCCGTCCTCCTCCTTGACGTACTCCTCAAAGACCCACATGTGGACTTCATCCTCGAAGTCTGCGCAGGCCTTCGCGTTGATGCCGATCTCGGTGGCAATCGCCGAACCCCAGTTGCCCGATCCGATAAGCGCGACGCTGCACCGTTGCCGAGCCGGAGGCGGGCAAGCCCGAGGGCGCACCTGTGGCCTTCGCGTCTCCATGCCAAAAAAAGAATTCATGTGCTTGAACGAGAGAGATATGTTACCCCCATTTTACTGGCGCCATTTTACCCGCCATCGACTCTCAGCCCGTCGCCGCACCCGCTGCGCCACGCAGCTCCAGCGCTCGCTAATTGGTGGTCCAAGGATCCTGATCCAAATTGGACGCGACAGTGGGAACGGGCTAAGGAGGACGCTGCCCTGCGAACGCCAGAGGAGAAGGCTGCAGTCATGGAGAACGCACAGAAAGTGGAGGCGGCAGTGACATCCACCGTTGATACCCTCTTTGCGGTGGGGGCGTTGTTCAAGGAGGCGCAGGAGGAGAGGGCGATCGAGGAGAGGCGGCGTGCCGGGCAACGGGCAAAGGCGGCGGCGGCGTTGAAGGAGGAGAGGGCAAAGGCGGCGGCCGCGCGCGCAGCGGAGGCGGAGGCGGAGGCGGAGGCGGCCGAGCAGAAGCGGTTGGCGGAGGAGCGAGCCGCGGCCGCCGCCAAAGCGGCGCTGGCAGCGGCAGAGGCTGAGGAAGAGGCAGAGAGGGCGGCGGCAGCAGCGATGGCCGTCAAGGCTGATACCGAAGCAGCCGCGGCCGAAGCAGCGGCGGCAAAGGCGGAGCTGGAGGCAGCAGCACGGTGGGAGGCCGAGGCGGCCGCAGCGGTTGAGGCGGCAGCGACGGCAGCGGCCGAGGTGGCCGAGGCGGCCGAGGCGGCCAAGGCGGCCGAGGCGGCCGAGGCAGCCAAGGCGGCCGAGGCGGCCGAGGCGGCCGAGGTAGGGGCGGAGAGGGCGGCAAAGGCGGAGGAGGCGCAGCTGGCAGCCAGGGCCAAGGTGGAGAAGGAGAGGGGCGTGGCCAAGGCACGGGCGGTCAAGCCGGAGAAGGCAGTCTCTCCGCCAGCCGCCCCTCCGCCGCCGGCAAGTGGCAAAGTGCCGGCGCCGCAGGCGGACGTGCGCGAGAATGCGCAGCAGATCGAGGCGGCGGTGACGGGGGCGGTGGACGTCATCTGGGCGGTTGGGGCGCTGTTCAAGGAGAAGCAGGAGGAGAGGGCGGCGGAGGAGAAGCGGCGTGCCGAGGAGCGGGCAGTAGCGAGGGCAAAGGCGGCGGAGGAGAGGGCAAAGGAGGCGGAGGAGGAGGCGGCGGTGGAGGCAGCGGCCGCAGCGGTACGCGAGGCGGAGGAGGCGGCTGCGAAGGCGGCGGCGGCGGCGGAGGCGGAGGAGAGGCAGATCAGAGTCCTGTACCGCGAGGTGCAGCTCACTAGCCCCAGTAGCCCACTCCTGCACCTTCTCGCACCACGGCCCTTGCCGTGGCGACGCCGACGCCCCGCCTCTTCCCGCTGCAGGTGATCCGCCTCGACAGCGCGGCGCAGGCGGCCCGCATCCGAAAGGCGCAGCGCCTCGCCCGACCAGCCCGACCTCGCCACATCCAGCCCCTCACGCGGCCTCTCCTCAACCTCAGGCGGTGTCCAACCGGGCGGCGCTCGCGACTCTGGCGAAGGAGGCGGCGGCGCGGGCGGCGGCGGAGGCGGAGCAGAAGAAGGCGGCGGCCGCTGCGGAGGCGGAGAGAAAGGAGGCGGAGGCGAGGCGCAAGGAGGCGGAGGAGGCGGCGGAGGCGAAGCGCAAGGAGGCCGACGCCGAGGCGGAGATTAGGCGAGCTGCAGAGGAGACAGCGGCGAGGGTGGCAGCGGAGGCGGAGGCAAAGAGGGCGGCTGAGGCGGCGGCAGCAGAGGCGGCGGCGGAGGCGAGGGCGAAAGCGGCAGTCGCGGCCGCCGAGAAGGCGGTCGAGGAGGCCAGGGTGGCGGCGGAGGCAGAGGCGAAGGCAGCAGCCGAGGCGGCGGCGGTGGCGGCGGCGAACCGGGTGTTCAAGGAGGAAAGGGCGCCTCGGGTCAACCAGGAGGCCGGATTGGGGCAATGCGGGAGACCCCCCCCCCCCCCAGCTCCCAACGGGTGCACTCTCGCTTTTAGGACGCCGATGCCCTCACGGCGGGCATTTCCGGTGTGCTTGATCCCTTCCTCGCCGTGGGAGCTCTCGCACAGGCCCGAGCCGAACCCCCCCCCCCCCCCCGACACGACCCGATCAACTCTCTCCCTCACGCTCGACCTGCCCCTCCTCTGCCTTCCACCCCGCTGCCCTCACCCGTCGCACACAGGAGCGGGCGGCGGCGGCTGCTAACGAGCAGCAGCTGGCAGAGGCGGCGAGGGCAGAGGCGGCGGAGGAGAAGAAGGCGACGGCGGCATCACGCGACGAAGCGGAGGGTGCGAAGGAGAAGAGGGCGAAGGCGGCGGTGGAGCTGGAGAGGGCAACGGCCAAGGCCAAGGCGGAGGAGGAGGCGGCGAGGGCGAAGAAGGAGGAAGATGCGGCCTTAGCAGCGGCGAAGGCGGACGAGGCTGCGGCTGCGGCGGCCCGCGAGGCAGCGGCGACGGCGGCAGAGGAGGAGTACAAGGCTTTGGCGGAGGCGCGGGCGGCGGAGGAGCGGCGAGCGGCGGAGGCGGCTGCGGAGCGGGAGCCGGGCGAGGGGAGCGCGGGGCGGGAGGCGGAGGCGAGGGCGGAGGTGGGGGCGGCGGCACTTGCGACGAGGTGGGGGCGGCACTTGCGACGAAGGGTACGGAGGGCGACGACGACGGCATCAAGTACGTCGTGGCGGTGGCCGCCGCCGCAGCGGTGGCTTACCTCTCCACTCCTGGCGTCGAGCCGCCAGGCGCGCTGATGGCGGGCGCGGGCCAGAGCGGGCTGAGGGAGGCGGCGGCGGCGGTGCGGGCGGAGATGCGGGGGGCGCTGTCTTCCGCGGGCAGTGCGAGCCGGGCTGCGAGGCTGGAGACGAGCCGATCGGTGGCGGAGGCGGCGGCCCGTGCGGCGGCCGCAGGCAAGGAGGCGAGCAAGACGGCCGCGGAGACGGCGGCTGCGGTTGCACAGGGGATGGGCCAGGCGGCGGCCGAGGCGAAGCGGGCGGCCGCAGAGGCGAGCAAGGAGACGGGGCGGGCGGCGGCGGCGGCGGCGGCCAAGGCGGCAGCGGAGACGAGCGCCGCGGCCGAGGGCGCCGGCAAGGCGGCGGTTTCTGCGAGCAAGGTGCCTCGCGTTGCGCGGGCTTGCGCTAGAGTTCGAGCGCACGCGTATGGCGCTGCTTGCCTGCGCTCTCCCATAGGCGGCGGCCGCCGCGAGCGAGGGGGCGAGCAAGAGGGCGGCCAAGGCGGCGAGGGCGGCGGCGGAGGGGACGCGCGAGGCCGCAGCCGACGCCGGGCGCGCGGGCGGCAAGAAGGCGGTCGAGGCCAAGCGAGAGGCGGTTCTCGAGCGCCGCTTCGGGCGGCTCTAGTGCACGGCGGCGCGATGCGGAGCGGAGGAGTGCACCCAGAGAGGAGGCGCGACGGCGAGCGGAGCACGAGCGTTAGCGTGTGGCCGGGCCCGCATTGGTCAAGAGAGCGACCTCTCCGCTCTCGCGGCGACACGCGAGAAAGCACACAGAATTAAGATACAAGCCTCTCTCACAGCACACTGGCACGACAAGGGCGCAGACTGGCGCGGACTGGCACACACACAGGCTCACCACCGGAGCCGCCTAAGCGACTCCGTTAAGAACGGCAATGCACTCCGCACCATGCACAATGCCGCTCTCCCCGCACGCTAGCTCGTTCACCGTCTGCCACGCCACGGCGGTGTGGAGGACGACAGACAAGCGCTGCATCTGCAGCCCGTGCCAGTTCTTGGTGGTCCATGTGACCTCGTCCAGGTGCTGAGCGTGCGAAAGTTTGTTGCTCAGCTGGTTCGCCGCCTCCCTCAGGGTGCTGCGAACCTCCTTTCCAAAGCCTCCGAAAGCCTCAAAATCAAACAAACGTAGATCGCAATCCTGCTGCCGCGCAAAGGGGTAATCGCCAGGCTGCTCCTTGAGCTTTCCCTTGGGGGCTTCCTCCTCCTCCCCCTCCTCCCCCTCCTCCTCGGCCTCCTCCTCCTCCCCCGCCACCGCCGCTGCCGTCGCTTCCGACGGAGACCACTTGCCGCGCCCTTTGACCAACTTGAGCAGCCCGGTCTCCGTGTTGCCAAAGCGCACATAGGCCCCCTTCCAGCCGAGCCGAATTTCACCCTCTCCATCCTTGCCCTTGCTGTTGCTCGCGAGCGAACTCGTAAGCTTCAGATCGGCAACAAGGCGCCTGTGCCCCCTGCCGATGTTTGCCGCCGCCACGTCAGGTTGTTTTGGATTACTGTAACTGAGGTGTGCAGTCGGCTCCATCTCGATGATCATGCCCCACGCCGAGCGGAGGCACTTGACCAAACGTTTGAGTAGAAATTTGTGTCTTGTAGCATGCTTTGACCGAGGGTTAACCATCGCGGCGTCGCCAAGGACGTCGTGTAGCTGGCCGCTGGGTGCCCTCTTGCCTGCCTCCACCGCCTGGCAGGCGACATCAAGGGGGAGCCCAAGGCGGCGCTGGACGGTGACGCGCATCGCCCAGGACTCCATCTTCATATCATCACGCATGGGGATGGCGTTAAGGAAGGCGCCCGCAAAGTTGGTCTGTGTGACTTCCTCGATTGCAGACAGCGCCGCCATCCCGTCTTCGTGGCTGAGCAGGCTGCAGGCAAAGAGGTCGACGCGGCCGCCCTCGCACACGGCGTCGCCAAGCGCCATCATCACCCGCGTGACGCCGTGCGTTCGATCGTCCAAGTCCTCTGGGGAGTCGAGGATAACCTTGTTGCTAATCTTCCAGCCCATTCCTTCCACCTCGTCATCGACGGGTGGGCCATGGTTGGCGAGCGCGATGGACGTAAACGCATTGCCCTTGCCGAGACTGCGGGAGGCGGCCTTGATGAGGCCGATAATGCTGCCGGCTGTCGCCGTGTCAAAATTGTACTCCAAAGCGAGCACCGTCGGCTTCAGGCAGTCAACAAAGTCATCCTTGTCCGGCGTATCGCTGCTGAACACGACGAGGCGGTCGAATGACGAAGCCTTTGACGATGGCACTGACGACGGCGGGGGCGCCACTGTTGCGGTGTCGTACGAAAAACTCGGGGCTCTTGCCGTGGTACTTGTACTTGCCGTTGGGTTCGCCTTTGGTGCAGCCTTTGGTGCAGCCCGTGGCGCAGCCTTTGGCGATGCCTTGGCGATCTTTGGCGATGCCTTTGGCGATGCCTTTGGCGATGCCTTTGGCGATGCCTTTGGCGGACCTCTTGACTTTGGTTTGTAGCTTCCTCTCGCTGAAGCCGCCTTCGGCTGGGCCGAGCAGCAGGAGCTCGACGAACCCATTTTGTCGTCCCTGGCTCGCCGATTCTCGCCGCCGTGTATCTAGAGAGGAAGGGACGGATGATCGGTCCACAGGCATCCCCCCACCTCGCCCCACCCCCACCCGTTTCTTTTTCAAACCAACCTTCCTGCAGGTGGTGGACGTGCAGCTGCGGATGACGACGCAGGCGCGATCGGCCTGGAGGAGGGGTGGCGCGTAATCCCTGCAGCCCCGCCCGACCCTCCCCGGCACGCCCCCCGCAGGCACTCGGCCTCTGCGTCTTCAACCTGATCGGCACTCTCCTCCTCGTCGTCGCAAACGCGTGGCAGATCTCCTTCGGCCTCCTCCCGCTCGGCGTCGCGTACCTCGTCGTCGCGAGGTACTACCGCGCCTCGTCGCGCGAGCTGCAGCGGCTCGACTCCGTCTCAAAGTCGCCCATCTACGCCGCCTTCTCCGAGGCGCTGCAGGGCGCGACCTCCATCGTCGCCTTTGGCGCGACCCGCCGCTTCGGGCTCGAGGCGCGGCAGCGGCTCGACGCAAACATCAAGGTTGGCTTCGCGACGGCGGCGGCGAACCGGTGGCTCTCGGTGCGGCTTGAGGCCATCGGCAACGCCATCATCGCTGGCGTGGCCGCCCTCGCCGTCGGGCTGCACGCGGCGGCGCACGCGTCGGGTGGCGGCGGCGCAGCCATGGCGGCGGGGCTGGCGGGGCTCTCCCTCTCGTACGCCGTCTCGCTGACACTTCCGAGACACTTCCGAGACACTTCCGAGACATGTCAGGCTCTCCCTCTCGTACGCCGTCTCGCTGACGGACTTCCTCAACTGGGCGCTGCGCATGTCGACCACGCTGGAGATGCAGATGGTCAACGTCGAGCGGCTGCTCTCGTACGCCGCCCTCGAGCCCGATGGGCCACGGCGACCAGCAGAGCCAGCTGCTGCCCAAGAAGGTCGAGGTGTTGGCGGGGCAGCGCGCCATCGGTGTGTCGGCTGGAGCCGCGCACAGCATCGGCCTCACCGCTGGCGGCGCCGTCTGGAGCTGGGGCCGTGGACACGCTGGCAAGTTGGGCCACGGTGGCGAGCAGCAGCAGCTGCTGCCCAAAGAGCTGGCTGGGGCTGCAGAAGCAGCGCATCTCAGTCGTTCTTCACACGGCCATCGCAGAGCAGATTGTGAATGAGCTTGCCAGCGGCGAGGGCGGTCGAGTGCACGGAGCTAAGTGCCTCGCCGTCCTCGCGGGAGTCGCTTAGGCGGCTCCCGTGGTGTACCTGTGTTAGTGCCAGTGCGCGCCAGTCCCGTGCCCAGTGTTGTGCGAGGGAGCGTTGTAAAATTCTTTTCGTGCTGTACCTGTGTTAGTGCCAGTGCGCGCCAGTCCCGTGCCCAGTGTATAAATAAATAAAACGGGCACGCCAAACGAGGGGTGGGAGAAGGACAGGGTCCCCACCTGCACGAGCAGGATCTTGGAAGGACGCCGTGCGACGCCGTGCAGTGTTGTGCGACGGAGTGTCATGGTAAAATTCTTTTCGTGCTGTGCGAGATAAGCCGGCCTCACTACACGAGGCATGCAGACGGAGAAGCTCCTCACCGCGGAGAAGGCGACGCCGCAGCCGCATTGGCCGATGCGATGCATCGCGGCAGCAGCGCTCGTCGGCGTCGGCGGGACGCTCCTCGCCGGCACCGGCTCGCTGCCGCCATTCCACCCGCGTCACACCGGGAACTGCCCGGGCAGCGCGGCGGCTTACGAGCTGTCGCATGACTTTTTCGGCGGCGGCGGCTCCTTCTTCGACGAGGCGCAGTGGCAGTACTTCACGCTGCCCGACCCGACCGGCGGACCGACGAGTTACCTCTCGCACGCCGACGCGCTCGAGAGCGGTCTCCTTGAGGAGGGCGACGGGTGGGCGGTGCTGCGGGGCGGGACGCGCGACGCGAGCGACGCGAGCAATCCGCTGCGGCGGAGCGTGCGGATCCACTCGCGCGACGCGTGGGACGGGCGCGAGCAGGGCTTCCTTCTCGAGGTGGGCTACACGCACGTGCCGCACGGCTGCGGCGTCTGGCCCGCGCTGTGGATGTATTGCGACGGCTCGGACCTCGCCGACGCCGCCGACGGGCGGTGCGGACCGTGGCCTCAGAACGGCGAGATCGACCTGCTCGAGTTTGCAAACGAGTTCTTCTCCAAGACCAGGTGCGCGGCGTGTCTAGTGGCTCGGCTCGCCCGCACGTGCGTGCGTCCTAGCCTTCCCTCTGCCGGTCCGCCCATCACGCAGACGTTCGGCCATCGGTAGCGTGGGTCGGCTCGTCCGCGTATAGTTCGCGTAATGGCTTGCCCCCGCTCTCTCCCGCAGCCTCCACTTTGGCGCCGATGCGCAGTGCCGGCTCAACGCGACGGCGGTGCAGGAGTGCGGACCCTTCCTCGACAAGAATGGGATGGGCTTTGACTGCGCCACAGAGTACTTCCCCGCCGCCACCGACTCCCTCTTCCCACATCCGTGGGCCGGGCCGCGCTACGGATGCGCGCCCAATCGGTACGACGCCTGGCCGACCCCCAAAGAGATCAACGCGGCGCCGGGCACATTTGTCTTTGAGTGGTCGAGCAGTTCGATGAAGGTGTGGAACTTTCCTCGCAGCGCGGTGCCCGCCGACCTGGCGGCGGGCAGCCCGGAGCCGTCGACGTGGGACGTCGGCCGCATGTGGTCCTACTACCCGCTGCAGGGCTGCCCCACTGCGAGGGAGCAGTTGAGGCCGCTCAACCTGGTGATCAACATCGCGTATTGCGGCGACTGGGCGGGCGGTGACTGGGAGCGGCAGTTCGACGACGGGTGGGTCGGGCGCGGCTTCCTCTTTAACTGGATGCAGCAGCTGCTCGGCGAGAGCTGCGCCTCGAAGTGGGGCGACTTCGGCGGCGAGCGCAGCGGCGGTGTCGGCAAGCTGACTCAGTCGGGGGCACGGCAGGCATGCAACGCCTTCATCAACGCGCGGGAGAGCGACGCGGGCGTCGCCGAGGAGGCGTACTTCAACTTCACCCGCTTGCGAGTCTACACTGCGCGCGGCGCGGCGCGACGGTAGCGCAGGCGACGCCCCGGGGAGCGGGGGGCGGGAGGTGTACCGTACTGTCGAGTGTCGTCAACGCGTCTTGTCGTGAGGCGAGCCTCATGAACTTGGTGCCCCGACACTCTACGAAACCGGGCGTGCATGACCATGGTGGGAGGAGGTGTCCGTGCGGAGAGAGCTGACCTTTTTTGCAGATACGCAACGCATTCGCACGACAAGAAACGGACAGCCGCGGCCTTCGCCGTTCGGGGTGTTCGGACATCTCCCGGAGCGCTGGCCGCCAGGTGTGGCAGCGTCCGTGCGTCGTCACTCAGCACACGTAAGGTCCCGGCCCTGGGCGCGCCCTTGCATCGCATGCCGCGCATCTAGTGCCTTAGTGCCCCAGCCTCGGACCACGGCGACGCCTCACTCCGAAATCAGCTGAGCATCGCGCCGACGCACGAAAACGCGAGCCCCAAGGTATTGCGCCCAGCGGACGCATCCCCAGACGCAAAGTCCTCATCGTCCGAGTCTGGCCCCTCCCGGCCAAACTCGCCCCCTGCCATGATTCCTGCCACCGGCCGCTGCGCCGGCGCGCCTTCGGCGGTGTCGCCGGCCGCCACGCTCTGCAGCAGCGACGCGAAGGCGCCCGCGTCCACGTTGCGCCTTCCGTGGTGGCCGTCCGCGCCTGCGGGAGGGGAGAGAGGGCGACATCGGAGGCGGCGGCAAGGGAGGAGGGAGCGACGGTGGAGGCGGCGGAGGAGGCGGGCAGGGGGGGGGGGGGGGCAGCCGGCGGGCTGCGGGGCGGCGGGGGCTGCAGGGGGTGTGTGTGTCCGAATGCAGGGGAGGCGGATCAGATCGCACCGCGGCCGTTGCACGCAAAGACGATAGCGCATCGCGGCCGCGGCGGCGGCGCGGCGGCGGCGGCCGAGTGCGTGACGGGGGCGCGCTGGAGGTTGTGCGCGAGATGCGCCACCGTAGCGGCGAGTGGCGCGGGCCTTCCGCCGGTAGTCCGGTGGAAGCTCCTTTCCAGGACGTCCGCGACGAGTCCCGAAGCCGCCGAGACGGGGCTGACGCCGTACCTAGGCAAGGTGCGGGAGGGTAAACTCCGCTGTATATCGGCTGTCTCTCGGCATCGCGTACCTTGCCCAAGTCGGCGCAGGGGCGCATGCCAGCAAGTCCGACGGCAGTGTCGCGCTGGTGAACTGCGGCCGCGCCTCTTCGGCGGTGCCCTCGGCGGCGGAAAATCGGAGCAGCAGGGCGCTCACTGCCACCGCGCCGTCGGCTGCGGCGGCGGAGGAGGAGGAGCCCAGCGAGCTCGCGCTGCGGCGTGGCGCGCGCAACGCCACCACCTCCGCCACGCCGCCCGCGAGAGCGAAGCCCGCGTCGCCGCGCGAGGACTGCTCGACGGCGCCGGTTTGAGGGTGGAAGAGGTCCCTCTCCATCTTGTCGAGGCGCGGCGTCGAGAGGCAGACGAAGCCGCGCCTGTTCACACTGGAGGCGTGAAGAGGCGCTGTTCACGCTCACAGCTCGTCGAGAGGCAGGCGAAGCCGCACCCCGGCTCGCCGCCGTCGACGAAGTCGCGAAGTGTCTGGCCGGGTGGAGTTGGATCGCCGTGCGTGCGTGCCGGCGGCGGCGGCGGCGCGGCGGCCAGCGACTGCTGCCACCACGCGCCCTCGTGCCGTGTCAAAGTGCCGCAAGCCTGGCCGACGAGCCAGGACACCTCCCGTCCCGGCAGCGCGCCGAGCAGTACGACCAGCGCGCGGCCGTCCTCAATCTCGACGGCGGGCGCGTCCCATCCCGCGGCTCCGTCGTCGTAGGCCTCAGCGGCGCACGGAGCAGGTCCGATGACGCCGGTGGAGCGCGTTGCGATGACTAGCGTCGACGGAGGCAGCAGCCGCGAGAGGCTATCCGCGAGGTCGCAGGTCTTGGCCTTGGACGCACAGAGGCTGTCGGTGGCAAACACAAACGCGACGTCGGGCACCGCGCCACAGGCGAGCCCCTTGAACGCCTGCGCCGTCGCCAGCCGCAGCATCGCGACGACGATGCTCGCCTTGGCGGCGGCAGAGGCGCCGGCCTTGCGCCGGCGCGGGCCCTCCGAGGAGAGGTCTTCCACCTCGCCGCGCGCCACGGCCAGCGCCTCGCCCGCGGCCCACTCGACCGTCCCCGCCGCCCAGTGCGCGTGGCAAGCGCTGCCGGGAGAGAGGCCGCGCCGCATCAGCTCGCCGGCGATGGCGCGGAACTGGCGGCTGACGCGCGCGCAGCGGAGGAGCTGCTGTGTCGGGAGGTGGGCGAGCAGGACGAGGAGGTGCTCATCGGCAAAGTCCCACGCGAAGGCGTCTGCGGGCTCCGTCATGGGATCCGTCGGTCATGCTCCGTTGAGAATTTGACATGCACGTCCGAGGCGGGGGTCCCCCCCGGGGGGTGCTCCGAGAGCAGGGCCGGTGTGTGTGTGTGTGTGTGTGTGTGGGCCGGGTGATCGACAACAACCGAGGCATCGACTTTGTCACCTCGTGGGAGCAGGCGTACCACAACCGTGGCCAGAGACAACGAACGGTGGGACGGCAGGACGGGGCTGCCTCCTGCTGCTAGCGAGGCTGAACCACGGGTGTGACTTGCCGATGAGCACCTCCTCATGCGGGCTCCGTCATGCCGAAAGAGAATTTTACAAATAAACTCCCTCCCACGACACTAGGCATCCCTCCCTTGGCGCTTGGGTTCTCTGTTTTCTTTCTTTCTTTCTTTACACTAACTAGGCACGGGACTGGCGCGCACTGGCACTAACACAGGTGTACACCACGGGAGCCGCCTAAGCGACTCCCGCGAGGACGGCGAGGCACTTAGCTCCGTGTGCACTCGACCGCCCCCGCCACAGGCAAGCTCATTCACAATCTGCTCTGCGATGGCCGTGTGAAGAACGACTGAGATGGTTGCGCTGCTTCTGCAGCCCCAGCCAGCTCTTGGTGGTCCGTCGTGCCGTGTCGTGAAAGAGTTTTACAACAAAACTCCCTCGCACGACACCGGGTACGGGACTGGCACTGCAAAAGCGACGGCTTCTAATAGAAGCCGTCGCCCTCACAGATGCCGTCCTCCTCACAGAAGGCGTCGTCGGAATGGTAGTCAGGCGGATGGTCCTCGCCGAGAGGACCATCCCCATCATGTGAAAGAGAATTTCCGACACCGTCGGACGACACTGGGCACGGGTTCTGTTTTCTTTCTTTCA